ATCTCAGAAAGTGTCACGTTTCCCAATCTTTTAAAGCCAGATTGAAGTGTTTGACCTTATAGGAGGGTGGGTGTGGAAGTAAAAAGTAAAGCAATCACAGGGCTCTGGAATTTTTTACTACTACTCAATTTCAGACTGATCAATTTACAAGGTGCCTGAAATCCCTGGGGAATCATATTTTCTAAAAACTGGACTTTTTCCTGTCTGTATTGCTTTTCCTATAGCTGTTTTCCTCTGGCAGGTTGTAACTGCTCTATCTAAAATCAATTTGATATATATAAATATCCTTGAGGAGAAAGCTCCTGCTTTGTAGAAGGTCAGGTAGCTTAATTTATACTGGGACCTGTACGAAGGGCAAGTGCTTCAGTTTGAACCAACTAGAGAGAGAACACCAGCCTGCTGGAGGGAGGAGGAGGGATTCAAATGCCTAGGAAAACTTTTCACTAAATGCAGAGCTGTACTGTGAAGTGAAAGGTTGTGCAAGAGGTTAAACCTGTGTAATTAAATGAAGAAAGCTAATTATTTTAACAGATACCGTTAGACACTTTTTTATGCAAAGACAGGGCTTGGCTGCATTTTGTCCAATTTCAGCATTAACCTAGAAATGTGTGTGCCATTTCTGACAGCTTTTGCTTGAATCTCTTTCTTCTTATGCTTCTAATTCTTAGTTTTTAAGTTGTTGCCCTGTGAAAACTATTAGTATTTTGAGACCTTTAATGCTGTACGTATTATTCTTTTTGAAACATTAACATGTTCTTTTGCGGTGTTGTTGTTTGTGAGTGGTAAGACTATAGAAAATGGTGACACCAGTATACATTTCTAAGACGACAGTAGTGAATTTTTACCTCTTGCTTAATGGCTGCCTTATCCCAGGCATTTCCTCCTCAGCTGGCTAAAGCTCAGCATACCTTCTGGGCTACAAATTGTGAACTGCCATTATTCATAGTTGAAATTGCAGTCTCTGCAAACATGGGCTAAATTGCAATCATTATATGTGGTAAAATAGATTGAAAATCTGTAAATCTGAAGACTGTAGCTGGTTCTTTTAATCAGGGAACTTGTTAAATTCACCCATGCTTTGATTTCTCTTTCTTAGATTTTTTTTTTTTTTTCATATCAGGTGCGGGGTTGTTCTGTGTTCAGTATTCCTGCTTCTAATTTGGAATGCTTAGTTTGATGTATAAAATGAGCAAAATGATACATGTTGTCTTTAATATGTGAGTGCAAGGTAGTGATTTTTCTCTTGCATTTTTATCAAACCCTTCATAATCTTTTCTAGACTACCTGTATAAACTAGTCTTGAAGAAAAGGCTACAGTATGATCTAAGGTTATTCTACAGAAATGTCCTATTAAAGCTCTTCATTTGAAAAACACAAGCTACATGATGTAATGACTTTTAAATTCCTCTTTCCTAAACCATTCTCTGCCTTTAATCAATTGATTATTGAGGAAGTATCTGGATATAAAAACCAAGCTATTTGCATATCTCACTCTGCGTCCTCCCACAAAAGAAGTCAGCGTTGATGTTTCATGAACAAATAGTTGTTTGCCTGCTAAAAGCACTCGAGTGCTATCTCCAGCATCCCAGTATCCACAGGGTAGGAGATGAATTGTTTTCATCACCATTCCTCTTCCCTAGCAACACATGCACCTCCATCATGTGCAATGCAGTAGAAACCAGGAATGTATGTGTTCAGGGCTCCAGCAAATACAGAGCCAGACTATTTATAATCTATTGCAACTTTGTGTTTACTCTAATTTCTCAGTCTCAGTGACACTTTCTCTTCTTTTTTCTTTATAACTGCTTTTTACCTCACTGTATTTTTAAAAAAGTAAATAGTAAATTAGTCTAGCTCACACAAATATGTGCCTCTAAATATTATCCTTTAGGTATATTCCTATAGTTTTGGTTTTCAAGAAGAATCGTTATCTAAAAGTAAAATGAAGAATATATAAAATGCTTACTCTTTAGGGTGTCTTAGGAGTAGTATTTCATTTAGAGTGGCAGTGATTCATGACTTCTCTCTCTACATGTGCCTTTGGGGTGACTTGCATTGCCCACAACGCTGTGTCATTTGTTTCCCTTTGATTTTCATGACTGACAGCTTGCTTTTGGCATTTTTTTCTTCTGCTGGGCTAAAAAAAAAAAAGGGGAAGAAAGGAATGTGCAGATGTGGGAAAAGAGAAGCCTGGAAAGTCCTGAAACTAATAGTAGTAAAAGAACAGAAAGAAGTTTACTTTTACTAATACATTAAGAAAAAAAGTCTGTGGTAGCCGTGTTGGCATTGAGCAAAAAACTAAGGTATGTGCAATAGCCATCTTAGAGGATGATCAGTTACACATATCATCTAGGAACCAGCAAGTCGGTTTCAACCAGTTGTAGGCAGCTATTGATGTCAGTTGTTTTCTCTCCTAAATTCAGTAGCGATGCTTAAAGTAATTCATAAAGCATTTACTAAAAAAAATAAAGTGGGTACTTCAGTTGACTTTTATCATTGTGCTACAAAGAAGCACTAAAATGAGGGCTCAAGAATTTAAAATCCGTAGAAGGAAACATTTTTACAAGTGAACAATTAAATTTCTCTTTGCCAAACTGTATTCTTGTATTCAAAATATCGTGAGGGCTAGATATGTACACATACACACACCAAGCACTTCCAGAAATGCCTGTTAATAACTCGTAAAAGATGGGATGGGGGTTTTATGGTTTATTTATGGGGGGTTTGGTTTGTTGGGTTTTTTTTTAACCCATGAGGAAAAATTCAGCTTATGGCAGTCCTACATGTCTGTGGAAATGGAAAAGGAACTTAAGCAGGGGAGGAGTTTCTGTAGTTGGGATCTGGTAGTTTTTCATTGTGGGGTCTTGTCTATCCAGTAATACATGCTGGCTGTGAAAGCAAGGGGACTGGTCTCCCTTCTTAGGAGCTCTTCAGCTTCTGTATCTTTAGTTGTGCATTAGTGTGTGATTGTTACAGCCTTATAATGTAAGAAAAAAAGGAATAAAAGCTGAATTGCAAGAATATGAACTTCTCACTGGTGAGAATGTGCAAGGATGTAAACTCCTTGACTTAATGTTCCCTTCTTAATGAGGTTGCATTGCTAGTACTGAAGCATCAATAAGAAAAAAAAAATCAAGTTATTTTTTTACCTGAGTTCAGATGCTTCTTCACAGGTAGGTTTTGATGGTAGTAGTGAGAAACTTCCAGTGTTGCCAGTGAAATTTCAGACTAAATTATTACAGTCTTAGAAAGAGGCAGCTAAATGCTTGATACTAATCTGTCACTAAAGGCTCTCATTAGATTTTTTAATAAATGAGGACACCTTTCAAATGGTGGAACACAGGTGAAGTTTAACTTTCTTTGCTAGTGAGGGAGAAATACAGTTAATCTTTGCCATTTTATACTGTCTGTTAAGGTAACAATATGCTTTGATGTTAGGCAGTGAAGTGACCTTGAGCCAGCTTTTTCTCTACTGATCAGAGTGGCTTTCACTTTGCTGCTTTTCACCATGATTATGCTTCCCTTGGTTTTGCTCCTTCTCAGCCTGAGATAGACATCACAGTGCCTGTCACTAAAGCACAAGTTCTAAGTGACTTTAAGCACCTTTATGTTGTATGCAAGTCATTGCTCTAACTCTGTTTTAGCACTTGCTAATTTGGCAATAATGGTAGTCTCCAGAATGGCAATTAGTGAACAAAGAAGGTTACACTGTATGACCTAGCAGTCAGGCTTTCCTTGAATTTGTTTGTCTCCACACCACACAGATATATTCAGCTACATATCAGTCTTCAGGTAGTGGTGCCTGATGCAGGCACTACTGATGAGTCTCTATTTGGTGTCAATTCTTAGCTTTTTTCCTTTTAAGAATTCACTGGTAACATTGGTTTAGTACAGAAATACCTGCACTCTAGGATTGCTAAAATCATAGCATATAGTACTAACTTATCTGTCTTTTCTGTGATCCTTGAATCTCTTCAGGCATGAAAGTATATGGACATGTATGTGAAGGCCTTCTGTTCTTATATAATCCTGTTGCTTGCATTAGTATCACTTAAAAGTTGTCTCAAAGACAGAAGGCATACTGTAAGGCAGAGTCTCTTCCTCGGTGCCTGTATGTCACATTCACTGTTCTGCCATATAAAAAGTAAACAGATACTGCAAAGGCTTTTGAATCAAGCTGTGAATTTCTTCACTGATTGGTATGCATGTATTCACTGAACTTTTTTCTTTACCTATTCTACTATCATTATATTAAAACTCATTAACACTACTGCTGCCACAGTGTAATGCCTTTCTAAGGTCAGATAGTCAAGCATTTGAAGAGAGGAAGGATTTGGGAGTTGTGGGATGATATTTGCTCTTTTCTGTATGAAGTGCTTTCTTATTCCTATAAACAAGGAAAGAGGGAGCAGCATCATTTATGTTAAGCAGCACTTTGCTGGAAATACTTGTTTCTTGACAAACCTGCTGTGTATGTTGATATCATAGCTCTAGTTTTAGCTTGAAGAAAAAGGTTGGATCAGACTGGGAGAGAACTAGTAATATCTTCTCACAGGATAAGCGTGTTTGAAAATATCAACTGTTCATACAACCTGATTCATTCTAAACCCCAAAACTCTTGTTGTGTAGCAGTATTTGGTTTTGTGAGTCTAAGGATAATGTTCTCCTTGAGACCTTTAGCACATTGACACGTTGCTGTCAAAGGGGGAAGAAGTAACCCCATCCTTACCACTGGTGCAGGCTTCAAAATGATGCAGTGAGCCACCTATTGCCTGCCCATCACTGTTGTTAGGTCTGTAAATTATGTGCCATTCTGTCCAATTATGAACAGGGATATCTACTGAGCTTGGTATAGCTTGATGTTATTTTTAGAACAAATTACATTGATTGCACACTATTTCAAAGGCCCCAAGTAATAAAGTACACAATTAAATGTAAGTCTGACTAGTTTCATTTCTCTGTGTGGTTTTGGTATAAAAACTTAACTATTTGTTTTCCAGACTCTTCTGGCAGAGATTTCGGTCCTACTCTGGGATTGAAGAAGTCCAGTTCTCTTGAGAGTCTTCAGACTGCTGTAGCTGAAGTTAGGAAGAATGAACTCCCTTTTCACAGACCCAGGCCTCATGTGGTCCGTGGTCGGGGGTGTAATGAGAGTTTCCGAGCTGCCATTGACAAGTCTTATGATGGACCTGAAGATGGAGAGGAGGGTATGTTGCTAATAGCACTTATGGAAGGAGCCACCTTCACTTAGCACTGCTGAGGGCCAACTTTGTAAAGCACATGAGCAAATGATTTAGTCCAATTAAAGTTGATCATATTTTAAAAGCTGTTCATGTCTTGCAGTGAATAGAGCTGTCTTTGCAGTACCCCATCCAACCTTGACAGGGTTTAGTGTAAAGTCTTTCACTGATCTCCTTTGGGGCAGGGGTGGGTTGGAGGATTTAGAACTCAATCCTTAAATAATTATATTTTTCAGCTTCAAGGAGCAGCTGCCTTCTTCAGATTACATTAAAAATTATCTTGCTTGTTTTACAGAGCTGTCTACAATTCCCGCTTCTCCAACCAGGAAATTTGTTTCCTGTTATAGACAAGGCAGAGTGTATTGATAGCACCCTGCTGTTCATTCTGTCACCATGGGCTTACAGACCCCAGTCTGGAAATATGTCTCCTTTAACATGGAGCATAAAACTGTTCTTGGATCTTGAGCCCCCCAGATAGAAACAGCACAGCTCTTCTCCAACCAGACAGAGCAGTTTATCTATTTCTTGTTCAGCCATTAAAATAGAAAGATTTTGTTACGTAGGTTGGTTATGTCAGTTGCCAGAATCTCTTGTTGAAGTAAGCTCTCAGTGTTTGCATCCCAGAATGTCAGTTTTCTCAAGCTGATGGAGGTTAACAAGCTAGATTTCAAACAGAATAGTGTTTTACCATGTCAGGATTTTTTGTCTCAGGAATAGCAACTAGAAAACAAGTCACTAAAATAACTCTGTATTTGATTTGCAATAGAAATCTGCTTGAATTCACTAGATATGTTTAGTCTGCTTTTTAAATTATTTAATTAGATGAGTAAGTGTTGTGAGTCATTTGTGCACTTTGTAGACACTTGTGTGCTGTATTCCACGTGTTTGCATTTTGGTGGCCCTTAGCCATCCTCACTGCTTCTTCTTTTTCATCCTGTGCAGATGGTTTCTCTGATAAGAGCTCTCACTCTGGTCAGGAAGCTCAAAACATGGAATCTGCCCATCCAGAGAACCCTGAAATAGAAGATACAGAAACCAAAGCAAAAAAAGACAAAAAAAATAGAGAAAAAGAGAAGAAAAAGGAAAAGGGCAAATCTAAAATCAAAGAAAAAAAAAGGAAGGAAGAAAATGAAGATCTGGAAAAGAAAAAGAAGAAAGGCTTTGGTGTCATGTTGAGGTACAGCATCGTACAAAGCAGAACAGCCACATTATCTCATTATAATGTAGGGAACAATTGATACTCTCAAAAAGTATAAAAATTATTTCACTTGGACTCAAAGTAATGTTTATGTTATTTAGAAAGAAAGCAGTTTATACTTTTACACCAAACTTGTAGCTGAGGCAAAAGACATTTGGCAGACAAAATGTCTTTTTGTGCCTTTGATATTCATTCCCATATGTCAGAAAAGATTCAAGGTTTCAGTCTAAAAACAATCGTGTGTCAGTGAGGAGGGCTTTGTGGGGAATATTTCTGAGTAATACATGATCCACTCCCACATTCAGACATTTGCCTTCTCTTGTCTTGATTATTTGCTTCTTTCAGAAGCTTTGGAGAGAGCAGGATCGCTCATGTGACTGAACAGTCCAGTAACATTTGCAGTTGCTGATAACCACTAGCTATGATAAAATCTTTGCTTCACAGCTTTAGCTATTGCCTACAGTGGACAAAAGCTTTCCATCCTCCCTGCTCAGCCTGCAGGCTTATGTTTGGATTTCTTCTGTGGGTATTTGTTGGGTTTGCATCTCTGGAGTTATTAGGTATTAGACAAAGTTCTCCAAGTCATTTTCTTGCTATTGCTGGAGTGTTGTAGGGACTCTGGTTGCTGTCCTCCTGCCTCTGATACCTGTTTACTCTATTGGGGATTAAAGTGTTTCCGTTTAAGTAGATCTTTGCAATTAATATATGGTATTTGAATGAAATTTAATGGTCACTTGAAGGTTAGTCTGTATGACCATGTGGTTACTTCTCAGAGCACTTTATGTTGGCTTTAGGAGGCTATTTGTGTTTCTTACCATGTTGTGCTGTAGACAAGCTAGAAACATACAAAACCAGAATCATTCCTTAGGCAAAGATACATTTAACTAGTCAACTAAGAAATTCTGTTGCAAGATAGCTTACTTACAATGACATTCATTAGGACAGCGATACATGAACTTGCATTGTAGCTTTTGGTTGGTATGTCCTCTGCAGTCAAATGGCTTGTGTTACATTAATGTGGAAAGTTTTACCTGACCTTCTTCTATGTATTATCGATAGAAATCCTTAAAATTGTCCTGTCAACTTTTGAACACTGTAGGCGTACTGTCAAAAACATACAGACATGCTTATGTGCTGCATTTGCATGTTTTTAGTAGCCATTCCTATTCATAAGAGGAAGGTGCATGTGTATATCAGTCTTTATTTAAATGGGGCTCTTAAGGAATGCTGGAGGCACGCACTCACACCTGTGCATTGCACGTGCATTTGTGTTCATACCGCTTAAAGAAATAGGGCTGAACATGGAAGAGTAGTCAAAACACTGAATAATTAGGAGGGTGACTTCAACAACTCTCATGTATCTTAAACTTTATGCCTATTTTCGTTATTCTGCTTAACTCTCTGGCATGAATAGGGCTGTTGGAAGAGGAGGGGAGTGACGCAGAGGTCTGACAAAAGGATAAGTATTCTGTTTCACGTATCACTAGCAGAATCAAAGTTTGAAGTGCAAAGTCTTTACTTGTGGGGGCGTGATGCCTGAGCCAGAAGGAACATGGGATGACATCAGAATCCAAAAAAAGGCAATTGTAGTCGACAAGAAAATCTGATGATGCTCAATATGCAAAGCTGTGAACAATAGGTTACCATTCTTAGTGATTCCCTTTTCAGAACGTATCTCACATTTTGGTTGTACACAAGCTTTATACATCTGTTCTTTTCATAAACTTGCTTTTTGTTTAGATTGATAGTCTTCCCAGCAGACAGCAATTGTTAATAATATTTATCTGTATAGCAGTACAGAATGGGAATTTCTATCCCACACCATTGGAGATCTCTCCAAAGCCACAGAGATGGAAGCAACAGGTTATAATAATCGGAGGAGTTGTTTGTAGGTGCAACAGTTCAGCTGGGAGGTTTTTAGAGGTTCTGTGTTCTCAGTGTTTTTTTTGAGAATTTATAAAATTGTTCTTGAAAAAAAATTCCTTCCTGAGAAAGTGAGAGTCCTAGGGAATCCCAGCCATGATAAAAGTGAGAGAAAGGTGATGACCTATAAAGGCTGAACAAGAGTAAACTGTATGAGTTTACAAAAGAACTGGGGACCATATGTCCTCAAGATGAACAAAACCAGTCTGGTATGTTTTCAGGGAGAAACTGTGGATGACATGAAAAAAACAAAACCAATTAATCTGAATGTTTTTAGAAGAAATAATAGGAAACTAATGGGGGAACTTAGGAGGGGTCAAATACTGATTAAATACTAGATTTATGAGCTATTTTTCAAATCAGAGTTCTGCACTGATGTGAAGAGTGAGGAGTGAATGTCAGGAGGGCTAGGGAGGAGGAGACTGCAGTAAGAAGGTTTGAATGATCAAGTATTTCAGCAACACAGATGGAAAGAAACAGCCAGACTTTTTATGACATTGTAGAGGTGAAACTGGCATGTTTGATTGGTAGAGTATCTGTGGAAGGAAAGAGAGAATCTGAAGATGACAAAGTTGTGAGCCTCTGCAGCCTTCAAGGTGACTATTAACTCTTGGTAGCTTAGGAGAAAGAAGTAGAAAAGTATTTTAGAAACAGATGAGTTCAGCTTTTCACATGCTGCATTTAAATTTGAAGGGGAGCCTGCCACAGGAGGCATTAGAAATGTAAACACCATAAGGGAGCAGAAAGCTGGATGGTGAAGGAAATCTGTGGTGTGCCTTTTGTGGGTATGGTGGTGGTTGTACTGTGATCCTCCATGCAGGAAACCACCAAAATGAAGAACAAAGAACCAGAGGGCCTGCTAGACTTACAGGAGAGAAAGATCCAAGAGTAAAGAAGTTAAGAAAGCAACTGGCAGGAGTGGGAAGAGGATGTATCTGCCTGAGTCTGGCCAATGCCATGGATTTTTAAGCTAGTCCAGTCACTGCAGCCACGTAAATAATTGATCCTACCAAGAGCTGTAACACCACACTGAGATGTTCATAGTGTTTGTAATTTGTGGGCTTCTTTGTTCAGAGTTATTTCAGCTGTGCCTGCGTAGTTCTGCTGTGTAGATGTATCTGAACAGGGAAACAGACTTGCTGAACCCATGTGAAGATTGGGTTGAGTTAAGGAGGAAATAATCATGTATGGTTAAAGCTCCAGGACCAGAAGAATAATGAAAATATTTCTAAGATCTTGACAGAAGACTCAGTGCTAATTCAGACACAAGCAGTTTCTGGTGAATGACTGGGAGTCAGGTGTAAAGGGCTAAGGAAAGTAGAATTTGAGGCTAAAGCAGCTGCTGGGAAAGACCCCCTATGGTGGGATTTTTGTGCTGTACTTGCTGGGTCACATATGCAGCTATAACAAGTTTTATTTTTATCTTAATAGTGTGTCCATGTAAATCGGCATGTTTGTGCATTATAATCAATAACAAAGCATTTCGAGATATTAAAACCAAACACAAGTATTTATCTGTAGTAGGGGAAGCGTTGAGCTTTAGTCTTTTGCATCTGAGATTTTTGAACATATTGGAATTGCTACTGCATTGGTTTTTGACTTTTTTTTTTTAATTTAACAACAGAAAATAGCAAAGCTGTTAGCAGTTGCTAACAGATTTCATTTAGTGCCTCATCTGTTGCTCAGCTGCTATTTACTTGTAGTTCCTGGTCTTTTTTTTACACCTACAAAAAAAAAAAAAATAATGATTGCTTTCCTGCTAATCTTTTCCTGGATTGAAACTTTATTTATGTGAGTGTGATTCAGGGAGACCATCCAGAAATCATGCTTTTATTTTTGTAATCATTGTTTCAAAAAAAGTCCCGCTGTTTCACCCAGTATTAACTAGAACTCGTGGCTGCAGCATTTTAAGGGCTGTGGCACTTGGAGCAAAGTAGGTTGCTTCTGTTGGAGATTTGAAATGCAAATGTGCAAATGACGTTGGTTATTACTGATCAGTTAAGTTTTTATAATCCTAAATACTGTTTCACTCTTGTTTGGTTGGTTCTGATGCATCTGTTGCCCTCCTCAGTACTGGTTATCTATATGTGCTGTCCAAAGAACAGCAGTTCACACTGTTAACTCTTTGTATGTAACACCAGCTAAAGAGCATTATATTTTACTTCTTTATGTTTTCTGGCACATTACACCATCATAGCTCAGTAAATAATCCACTGCTAGATGACAGTGAAGTAGATTGATATTGTATATCAGGAAAACAACTACAATAAATATTTTTATTATTGTGACTACGTGTACACTGCAGTCTTAGGAAAAAGCCAGTGTCCAGCATCTATGCTGAAGCTCTTTTGGAACAGAAGTAATACTCAGTTCTCTGCAGATACATAACAGCTGCCAGTTTACACAATGCCATATTCAATTCTTGATTCATCCCTTTTCTTACGTTGAGCTGCCTGATTCTTTCATGGCATGGTGAGTCTTGACAACACTTCTAGACCTCATATGAGTTTCCCTGCACTCCTTTTTGAAGGTGTGTTGTATTTTTATGAGAAACACTGTAGAGAAACAGCATATTTGTGCCTTTAAATGAAGGTAGTGTGTAATGTCATTGCTTTAGAACTGTCAAAAGCCTTGTGAGGTGGCTTTGTAGCCTGTTTGGAAGGGTTAATTAACCTATTGGTGCAGGCTGTTAGAAATCCTTGATGCCGAGCAGTAATGCAAAATGCATTTTCGCTTAGCACTGAGAACGCAAAGCTGATCTAAGCAAGAGGTTAATTAAAAAAAAAAAGGTATTCCTCAGTTTGCTCGGTGCTGAACTCCAGATTTTGAATTTGTGATCTGTAGTTATTGCCATGCCTTGAAATACTATCAAAATGTTATTTCTTGCAAAGGTAGACTCTGTTGGTTTCTAAATTAAGTTAGAGAAAGGCTGAACCTTTAAATCACCAGGGAAATGTGACCTCTACTGCGTGGTGCTGCTCTGTATCCTAATCCCATAGCAGTTGTTACAGTCCTGGCATATAATAAACATAAGTCTATAGCACTCTCACTACCTT